AGATCTCTAGGAGCGCTTCTTTTGTTTTGAGAACAATGAGTGTAAATATTCACACTATAGGCTCTAATAGGCTTTGTGTTGTAGCTTGCGAACTAAGGCAAGGGTAAAAACGTATTACTGATATGTACACGGGAAATCATTGATTGTACTGATGTTTTCTGCTCGATAGAACGGAAATGGACGATTACGACGAAGTAGCGCTCTACCCTATTATTATGACATCCGTTGATTTCTTCCGAAGAGTTTCTAGATAGAGCTGAAATAAGGGCGTAACAGCTTTTGTAAACAATGACTTCTCTCGATGATTTCTAGGAATTCAAGGCACGCCCACGCAAACCAACATTACCGTCGGGTAGGGGAAGTCTTACCCTACCAGATAGGGATGTTGATTTGCGTGGGCGAGCCTTGACTTTCAAGACATAATCGAAAGAAGTAATTCTTTACAAAAGCGGTTACGCCCTAATTCCAGCTCTATCTTGAATAGATCAGTGTCCATTTTCCGTATATTACTAATAAGATTCTTTTTCAGTTCATGTGTAATTATTCTTGTGTTGAAAAATATTCCTAACTCTTTCTTTAAAAAATTGTGGTGGCCCTGAAGGGCCGTTTCGATGGTTTGTGGCTCTGAAAAGAGCCGTTTTGATGTTTTATGGCTCACAAAAGGACCGATTTGGTGATGTGGTTGGTTTAAAGAAAATTATTTTTGTCGCCCTGATACTGCTCATTCACAACATCCGCTTTACTGTTCGAACAATCCTAATTCATCTCAGGGACGCACAATAGACCGCTCTCTGGAAGCTCCTGGTTCCTCCATCCCAGTCGTGCCGATTCCTGCCAGCGTTCAGCATAGTCGTCCTGGCCCTGTGGCTGGATATGAATCAGGCGTCTTCCACCTTGCCTCTGCAGGCAAGTTACAGTCAATATATTGACTATCCTAATCAAAAATAACCATAAAAGAGAGCTTAACGACGTGTTCGGGGTATTATCCAAACCATTTGTGGGATAGTTTACCCATCCGGGATACAGTTCGTTTATGGTATTTGTTTATTAGGGTATTCACTGCTTGATGCCGATCAAATTTTCAGCAATTCGGACAATGTTAGTCATTGTGATGATACCTCTGTAACTCCCAATCCTGGGAACCCGGAACGCGCCGTAGAAAGCCCCATGGAAGCCCTCAATCTCTCCTGCCATCAGCAGCCTTCGTTCATCATAGTCGTTCCGGACCTGCTGTCGGATGTGGAGAGGGGGTCTTTCAACCCACTCACTATGGTGAGTATCCAATCAGACTTGAAGATGGTCAGTTATTGCCTGATGTATCTGTGATTTCCAGGGAGAGCAGTCGTTCTATTACTTGCCGCAAGCAGGACGTCGTGATATTCTATAAAAACGCCGGTGGAATGAATTCTGATGTTGAAGAGTACCGCCTAGCTGTATCGGATTTTTACTACGATGCAATTGTCCTGTGCGAAACGTGGCTCGATAATCGAACGCTATCCAGTCAAGTCTTCGGAATCCTAACAACAACCGTAAATCTCTTGGTGAAGCTGTCCGTGGCGGGTTGGAGGCAAAGGTCATCGAGAACGATTAATGGAACTATGTGGAGCAGGTTTGGACAGCCATCAATCTGGGTGATCGCACACTATTTCTATGCGCTCTGTACATTCTACCTGATCGAGTTCGGGACAATGAACTCATCGATACTCACTGTCGGTCAGTTTTCACAGTTATCGAAAGTGCCACTCCAGTCGATGAGATATTAATTTTTGGTGACTTCAATCTGTCAGACGTTTTGTGGAGTCAATCTCATAGCGGATTCCTTTATCCAGATCCTGATAGCTCTACATTTCACGCAGGAGCTATTAACCTTCTCGACAACTACAGCGCAGCGACGCTTTCTCAAATTAACTATGTAGTTAACGAAGTTTGGACCTCTGCTTCGTAAGCACACAGGACAGGGCTCCATTAATTTCCTCGGCTCATTGGGCACTAACTAAGCTAGTGCCACATCACCCTCCTCTAATTGTCACTGTTGAGGACAAACTCGTGCTTGATTTCGACGATTATCCTGCTACGGTTTCTTATGACTTCCGTGAAGCTGACCACTGTAGCATCATAGATGTATTGTCTAGCATGGTATGGGAGAACATACTTGATCCAGATGACGTTGAGGCTGCAGCGCAAACCGCAAACCTGCATACGAGTTACCATAAAAAAAAAATCGCGATAAATTTCATTAAATACATACATTTATTTGTACAACATCAAATTTAAGATAAACCATAATCAACAATAGTACGTCACAATACTCGGTTTCCGGCTGCCGCTCTCCATCCTCGGTCATGCCCAATGCTCGCTAGATCACGCTCTACCTGGTCCGCCCATCGTGCTCTCTGCGCTCCACGCCTTCTTGTGCCAACCGGATCAGTAGCGAACACCAACTTTGCAGGGTTGTTGTCCGGCATTCTTGCAACATGCCCTGTCCACCGCATCCTTCCGGCTTTGGCCACCTTCTGGATGCTGGGTTCGCCGTAGAGTGCAGCGAGCTCGTGGTTCATTCTTCGCCGCCACTCACCGTTTTCCTGCACACCGCCGAAGATCGTCCTTAGCACACGTCGCTCGAAAACTCCGAGTGCTTGCCGGTCCTCCTCGAGCATAGTCCATGTCTCGTGTCCATAGAGGACCACCGGTCTTATTAGCGTTCTGTACATGGTACATTTCGTGCGGGGGTGAATCTTTTTTGACCGTAGTTTCTTCTGGAGCCCGTAGTAGGCACGACTTCCACTGATGATGCGCCTTCGTATTTCACGACTCACATTGTTGTCAGCCGTCATTAAGGATCCAAGGTAAACGAATTCCTCCACTACCTCGAAAGTATCCCCGTCTATCGTGACATTACTTCTTAGACGAATCCTGTCATGTTCGGTTCCGCCTACTAGCATGTACTTTGTTTTTGACGCACTCACCACCAGTCCGACCTTTGCTGCTTCGTGTTTCAGGCGGGTGTATAGTTCTGCCACCGTTCCAAATGTTCTTGCGATAATGTCCATGTCGTCCGCAAAGCACACAAATTGACCGGATTTCGTGAAAATCGTACCCCGGCTGTTGAGCCCGGCTCGTCGCATTACACCTTCTAGAGCAATGTTGAAGAGTAGGCATGAGAGTCCGTCACCTTGTCGCAGTCCCCGGCGAGATTCGAATGAACTGGATAGTTCACTCGAAACCCTTACGCAGTTTTGCACACCGTCCATCGTTGCTTTGATCAGTCTGATCAGCTTCCCAGGAAAGCCGTTCTCGTCCATGATATTCCATAGCTCTGTGCGGTCGATACTGTCGTATGCCGCCTTAAAGTCGATCGGCCGTCAATGAAGCCGGCTTGATAACTTCCCACGAACTCGGTCATTTTAGGTGATAGACGACGGAAGATGATCTGGGATAGCACTTTGTAGGCGGCATTCAAAATGGTGATCGCTCTGAAGTTCTCACATTCTAAGTGGTCGTCTTTCTTGTGAATTGGGCAGATCACCCCCTCCTTCCACTCCTCCGGTAGCTGTTCTGTTTCCCGTTCTGTTACATATCGGGATCGAAAAGTTGTTTAAGGAACTTAGAACAAAAATAACTTTTAACATATGCTCTCTCCCTCTCTCGCTGGTGAGTCAAAGCGGGGAATAACGCTTTGCGAAATTCGCATTGCTAAGCGAAAACAGCTCGCTTACGATAATAAACTTTTGGCGATATTTCCAACACTGGTTATACGTCAGAGAAACAAGATACGAATCAGCGGAGTTGCCGCTTTCTCCACTCTTCATCCGACGATCAGTGTGGTTAGTTCTACAGGTTTATCGGTAGATCTACGGATTTTTAGATTTACTACGGATCTACGGACCGACCATAAAATTCTACAGATTTTCTAGATTTTTAGGGACTTCTTTTAATGCCGATGAAATTCTACGGGTTCTAAAAATTTTAACTCAGCCCCCGCTCATCAGTTTAAAAAAATGGAATTACTGGTTTTGGAAAATGGTCATTAAATATAGCAATAATTAACGCAATGGAAATAAATTTAGCTATCTATGAACCGTATTCCACGAAAATTTAACAACACTACCGACGATGCCTGCAGCAGTACACTCAATTCTATATCTACACGTCCGTATTTTTATAGAGATGAACTAGCCTAAGGCTAAAAATCTTTTTAATAAAGCCTTAAAAAAAAGTTCGTATTTTTAACAAAAACAGAACAAGACCGAACAAATAAAAACCTCGTCAAAACAGTTGAGTTGAGCGTACCGTTCCGATTCAAATTTCGGACGATTCAAATTTCGGACACTTTCATTTTTAATTAAATATTACATACAGTTAGAAACAAAGTAATAATGTTAGATGATCGTGGAGGGCACTAGTCAAAAAAATTTAAAATTTACAAGACATGTGGATCATATTCGACCGAGATAATCAACTTTTAAAAGTGTCCGAAATTCGAGTTTAAGTGTCCGAAATTTGAATCGGCACGGTACTTAATTGTGAAGCCACCAAAACTGCATCTGGAATACTGAGTACTGGATGTCATCAGCAGTCGATATTAAAAAAAAAAGAACTTCAGTGGAATCCCACAAAACATCACAACAAAGGCAAACCGAGGGGTTCATGACGGTAGAGGATCAATGAAGAACCAGTAAATCTATTCAAAACAAAGAACCACCCTGACACGTCGCCAAACTGCGTTTGTGTACCTTTACACATTTTATGTTTTAGCTGCGGTCAAGTGCACGTGGCTTGAACCCACGAAAACCGAGAGCAGTTTATTTTAAAACACAAAACTTTACACATTCTATAAATATCAGCCCGAAGCGAACGCGGAAAACCGTCACACCAGCGCAGACATATTCCGAATCCCATTTAGTGCTGCTGCCGCTGGTCAATAACATTCAATACCAATGTGACTTCGACTCAGTGCCATATACATGTATCTAATAACTCTCCCTACAAGTAAAACCTACCTGTTTCATCCATCGTCGCCGCTGTTGCTGTTGCGTTGGCCTGCAACGCCACCGACTCCTCCGCAACGACCCCCGTCGCCTCCTCCGGCGACGCCGTCGCTATTTCCGGTTCGACCGCCAGCTTTGCACTATTCCGCACTCCGGCGTCTGCTCGGCGATAAGTTTCAAGCTATACTATGTAAGGTAGTTACTGGCAAAACTCGATCGATACCACCACACGCATTTTCTTCTGATCAGGGTCCTTTTACGATACTAGCATCCGGCTCAACTTTTTTTTTTTGTGTTTCGTAGAAAAATAAAACTGTACACACTGAGATTCTCTCTAAATTTATGTATCTGGTTCTCCGGTGGTTCTGCGAACTGAGGGATTTCCACCCACTACAATCTTAAGCAAATGCGAGAAACACAAACGCGATCGCAGAGTGACACCCACACGCACGTTCGCCTATATGGCGCCGCCTCTTGTGCTTGCCTCCAACGTCGATTCTTCTCGGATTCGGAAGGTGTAACAATAATATTGCTTTGCTGACTGACTGGCACTTTTTCACGGATTAGATTCCTTCGACTAAAAACAACGCCTTCAAGAGCACTTTCAACTTACGTGGTACAATATTCTTCTACTTTATCATAATACCAAACTAAACACCAATATGTACGCTGCACACACAAAAAAAAACGAGAACCACTTGAGATTCTTCGCCTCCTCCACTTGTTCTCTTCTCTAAGGCCTTTTAAAGACACCAAATTTCATCTTCTCCATCGCAAATCATCCAATCATCTAGAATAGTAACAAGATTATGATATTATTATGTCTATCTCGTTGATTAAAGCGAGTTGAACAACACTTGATTTTGCACTGCACTTTGTCCGCACCTTCTGGTTCCTAGTAAGTATTCCCGACTTCTAATAATGTGGCCTTTCAGGAGCAAAAACAGCGACGAAGTGGCGCGACTGGTCTCCGTGTTCCTTTCTATACCGTTTGAGGGGGAAGGTATTTTTATTTATTATTGCTCTGGTCTGGCTGGTGCTTTTGAACTACAACTACACTACAAACGTACGGCAGTCAGCGATTGTAGAAATATATAAAACAAACACAACACTTTAGTTGTATAGAGAAGAGAGGGAAGTGAAGCAGAGGATACATCGACACTAGAGCCAAAGAGGATGAAATGTGAAGGGTTCTATCGTGCAAGCATCATATATTTTGAAAAGTTCGATTTTCGGAACGGCAAAAGACACCCGAAAAAAAAAGTTACTTCCTTGGATATTTTTTTTAATACTAAAAGACGGATTACAATTAAATCTGAGAATAACTCCAGGACATGTTCAAAGGAATTCGGAAAATAAATTCAGGAGAGTTATCCAAACAAGTTATGAGAAGAAATCTAAGGAATTTGTGAGTAGAAATGCCAATGATTTGTTAGGAGACTTTCAATGTGAGTAGAATGTCAAGGGAAGGAGTGAGATTCAAAAGGAAATCTGAGATGAATTCAAAAGGGTGTCTTATTGTGGAGAATTTCAAGGTAATTACGAGGAAAACTAAACAAAATTGAGTTCGGAGGATAGTTTCATCGAAATAACCATTGAATATGGAATGGACTATTCTGAGAACTTCCCAAATTTTTCCTGAAGTTAATGAATGTGCCTTGAAGTTCTTTTTTAGTTTGAGTAACTAGCCTGATGCTCACAATACTACATCAAATTCTTAAACTTCCCTGAACTGTATAGGACTTCCTATAGTTTCCTCGATTTTTCTAACGATCATGAATCTCAACTAAAGGTTTAACAATTCGCTGAAGTTCTCTAAACTTCTTTAAACTTTATGTGACCTCTCTAATGTCAACGAAGCTGCTCTCAAGTTCCCTGTTCTTTTCTGAAATTCTCAAAACTGCTCTAACGTTTTTGCAGTTCTCATGAAGCTTGTTGTACTGCGCTGAATTTAATTGAACCGTCCTTAAAATGTTTAAGCTTCAGTGAACTTTTGAACTTATGCGAAGACCTCAATTAAATTTTTAACGTCTCTGAAGTTATCTGAAAATCTAGGAACTGCTTTAAATTTACCACTAGTTTTCTGAAACTAATGGACCTCTCCCTGAAATTCCTCCAATTTTCGGTGCTTACTAAACTTTTTTCAAATGCTCCCGCATTTTGCTAATGTTCATAAAAATTCCTGAAGTTCGCGGATCTTCCCTTAAGCTCCTTAGATTTCTAGTTTTTTTAAATTTCTGGAACTTTTATGCTCCCGCAATTTCCATGGAAGTGGAACGAAATAATTAATATAGTTTTATGATTTTCACTGAAGTTCTCATGTTTTTTTCTGAAGTTCATGAAACTACCATTAAATTATCGACACTAATTTAAAACTTCTTCAATAGTCTAGACTTTCCTACCTAACCGATAACTGAATTTCTTTAAAGTGCTCTAGACAGCTTTGATGTGATCCATATATTTTAAGAACCCGCAACTTTACTGAAATTAATTGATTTGCCTTGAAGTTTCGACAATTTTTCTTAAATATTCCAACCATTAAAAACGCTCACTTATTTTCCCTGAACTATGCTTACCTAAAGTTCTCTAAATTTGTTTAATAATCCGGCAAATTTTCTGATATATACGTTCAAAATTCCCTAACGTTTTTGGATCAATCATAGAATACTTCAAATACCCCATAATTCCACGGAATTCCTTGTAAGTGTCTGCAAATGTGCGTAAGTTAATGGGATTATTCTGAAGCTACTCGGAACTTCGCTGAATATCATGAAACTATCTAAATTCTAAGTTCTCTGGAATTTCTTGAAGATATTTATCGCTGCTTGCTAAAAGCTCTCGCATTTTTTTAAATTAATAGAATCTAATCAATTTAGCATTTTTTAAAGTTCTTGAAATCATGATGATATAACACCCTTAAAATACTCTCACGTTTTCCGGATGTTCATATAATTTTTATCACGTTCCAGAAATTCTATTAAGGTTTCTACAATTTTCTTGCCCTGCCCTTACTGCCCTTTGATTATCTGATCTGTCTTGATGTTCTCGAAGCTTCCCTAAAGCTCTCAATTCGATTGAGGATAAATTTCCCTGAAATTCTTTGGACTTCTGTGAAGTTCCTGAAATATTTCTGAAGTATGTATGTATGTATGTATGTAAGGTAGCCACCATCCCTTCAAGACTTGTCTTGTATGCAGCTCCACTTAATAGCAAGATCAATTTGAGCTACCGATCTGAATTCACTATATCGCTGTATGAAGGGCCAAAAACGGAGGGGTGGACCCGTAAGTAGAGACACTTACGCGAAATCCACGGGAATTTAAGAATCTCCTTCCAACGATACGCTCCAACAAATCGAATAACACAATTCGCAATACTTATTAAGCTTCCTACTGGATGGTTTGTTAAGAAGGGCGCGTCAATCGCCCTGAAACTGTTGGAGTAGAATTCACACCACCACAATCGAATCGGTAGGATAAAGAAAATGATAGTGTTTATTCCCTCCTAGACTCCGGCTGTCAATCATACCATCGTCCAGTTTCAGTTTGAATGATACCCTGATGCTCCCTCCCAACCCAGTATTTATTTATATAATGAAAATATATGCAATGGAGAAATGAAATATATCAGAACATTAAAATATGACATAATGAAATACATTTATATGGATAATATAGTTGCTACTGCAATGAAGAAGTATTTTACATATAATAAGATGCAGCTCTACACCTCCTCAGCTCACAACAGGTGGATGCAACACTGAAATGTATAGGATATATTAAGCAATTAAATATATTTTGCTTGAATGATACTAACAATAATGCTAAAAATTGTGATGAATAACTAACATGACGAGAAATAACCTGCTTAATAATCATAAACATATAATATTATTTAATGTTTCTGCTTCATCAGCTTCATATTAATTTCGATGACTTGCTTGGGTAAACTGAAATATTAAGCTAAAGGTAATAGTATATCACGCAATGTATAATTTATATCCTATATGTAGTGAAATGCAAAATGTATGTATGTATGCAGGTATTTCCTTTAAACACAGAAAATATAACAAAATACCAGTGGCGTCCCGTAACCTCACTATTTACCTTTGGTGCACAGATTTAATGCCATACTCATATTCGAATCGGTTGAAAATACACTCAATCTTCTAGTTTACTCGATATCTATCTATTGCAAGCAATATATTGATTATTATTTTTTGTTTTGAGAGTTGGTGCACAGGTAGATCGAGGTTAAGGAAACGCCACTGGAAAATACAGAAAACCTCGATTTTAGTCACTCAAATTCTTTACACTCAAGCTATATATGAATATTTTAATTGCATGGTATGATTGAACTCAACCTTGCCTATTTAATTAATCCACAATTTAAGTAAAGAATCAATTTGCTAAATAATCGAGGTTGTTTGAGAATACAAGAGTTATAAAAATAAGCATCAATGATTAATTCTGGAAATAGCAAAACTCTGCAAAGGTAAAACAATTTAATAACATATGGTGATATTCAATTTATTCTCTGGGTAATCCAAATTCTGAAAACCATAGATATCATATTATATTATTATAAAATAAATGTAAATAACAATGATTTGATATTTGATACACCTTCTGTTAATGAAAATTATAGTTGATATAATGAGATTTTAAATATGTGAAATAAAAATAATTTACTAGTCATGCAATATATAAAATATAATGAATGTAAAATAAACAAGTACCGTAAAACAAAGAATGTTTTTCAAATTTTATATTTTTAAAACAAGTACTGAGGATCCAAGAGTTAATTCGTTAGTAATATGTTGAACGAATATTAAAGCATTTGCACTATTTTTTTAGTTTTGTGACCTAACTTCTGCATTTTGATTTGGGGTTACTTTGATAATGCTCGATGAATGTAGAAAAAAAATGAGTGAAACTCAAACAATTTAGTTCTTTAAATATGAAACTTTGAATGAGTATATAATCAGAAAACTTTAAAAGCAATAATAATTCAACATTGAATTTGTGATGGCTGCATCGGAAAAAACATTTCATAAGTGATGGTTTGCGTGCTTTTTCAAAAGCGCGAAAAACACGAAAATGGTTTTTTTAATATTTTTGTAAAACATGTAACACATACTATATAAAACTATATACAATATCAACGGAAATACCCTAAGCTACAATATGGAATCAATGTTTCTTATTTGGAAAACGCACAGCGAGTAAATTTATTCTTTATATTATACTATCAAAGCTAACCACATTATCAAAGATACCTCGTTTTACGGTACTACAAAATACAAATAAGCTCGATTTTAGTTAACCTCCGTACATTTAACTGATTTATTAGATATTTTATTGGAATTGAAACAAAATCTTTATTATGCACCATGGAATCTTTAAACGCAATATGGAATGCTTTTATAAATATTGGTAAACTTTAATAATGAATCAATAGTCAGAAAAATCCAGGTTATTTGGACAGTTAACAGTTTTCATGCACTTGTTATCATGCATTACAATGATGTGAACGAAGGCTGAAAAAGTGTAATGGTATTATTCTAAAAAATTTCCATCATCGAAGAGCTGAGAATCTACTTAAAGATTTAAATCAATAAATCCAGGCTAAACGGAGGACTCACGAACACAATAAGCTCCCCCATCACTCATATTCCGAATCTGATTATTAAATGAGTATTTACAAGTATACAATTAAATATATCAACAAGTAATGGAATTTTCTCTCCGGGAATGGATAAATAAAATGTTTAATTGCTCTGTCATATAAACGTTGAACATACATTAGAGAAAATCAATCAATGTTACGTTGCTTCTTCCAGTTGTGTTTTGATCCTGTTTTAAATATTGGTCATTGAATATATAATAATAATATAATTGGACCTGGGATTTATTAAAACTCAACCTCCACGGTGGTGCCCTTTACACAAGAATAAGCCTCTACTGCCGATAATCTTTTAAACCTGGAGACAAAAAAGCTACGAAAAAAGCGCTTATGCCTTCATTAAATTCTACTCATACGCGATGT